TTCAAAATATTTATGTTGCAATCAAATAACAATACAAAAATGTTCTAAACAATCACTCAAATACAACTTGTCTTGCAATTTTTGAGGTAAAAATATCAATCAATTTTAATTTTTATGACTTGGGGTTAGGACCCAACTTGGCCATTTCTTTGTTTTATGTATGGATTCAATCATAATATGATGGTATTAAATCAGCTCCAACTGAGAACAATGTGCATCCAGAATATCATTTGTCAGCAAAAAGCAAAATATCATGCCTCTAGGTAGATTCTCGCCTAAATATTTTCAACTACTCGTAACAAATAACAAACTGTCAACAAGTTAAATAAACCCAGGAATATAGAACAAACTGAAGCAAAACCAAATCTACCAACACATGCAAATCTACACAACCTGATTTCAAGGCCATGTTTTTCTCAAGTTCCTCCTCAGATTTCTCAATTGAAGCTTCAGTAATCGGGTCTAGTGATCCTATAGGCGATGCCACTGGCGTAATGGCAATGTCCTCGCCAGTTTTAAGGATGGATGAATCCGTTTTGAAAGTGGCATTTTCTACCTCCGTGAAAACCTTAGTCGGAGCTCGAGAGGACTCCCACGGATCCGAGGGTTCTTATGTGATTGTAATCACAGTAAATATAAGGACTGAGAAACACACGTTGCTTATCAACTTAATTAGGTATTGCCCAATGGGATCTGTAGGATTCAGTTCTCTTATTTACGCTCTAAATCCCAAATTAAATTCAAACTGAGTTCACTAAAATTGCCAGGGAAATGCATCAAATTCAGCTAAAGAACGAACTTTGAGATTTAAGTGAGGAAACAAACAAATGGTATGTAATCGAATCAAATTTTTTTTTATTTACATAGAGAAGTACTCAATTGATCTGAAATTGACCTAAAACATTGAAGAAGCAATAAAAAAATTGGATCTTGAAACGGTGTTGACGGCTACCACATCAGCTCCGACCTCCACTGCCGTTCTTCCGTCTAGGTTTTGCTGTTGATTTCTCAAGCTTTTGGTTTGGACTCTCAACTTTGGAGGTTTTGAACTTTTGAAGGCGTTGGTTATTTAAAAAAAAGGAGGAAAAAAAACGGGCCCCTTAAAAATCTGGGCCTGAGGAGGAGGCCTCTCCTCAGGTCCGGCCCTCTGGCGGCGAAAGGTTTTTATTGGGCCAAGCGGTGGATTAATGGATGGGAAAAATTCATTTCTCCTAATTTATCTTGGGGTACTTGCAAAAATACCCTTAAAATTAGGAATGTTTTGAAAGCACATTTTTAACAAAAAGTGACGTCACTTTACATGTTAGCAGTTTGAAAACAAAAAGTGACATAATGTCACTTTTTTAATAAAAGTGACTATGTTATGTGTTTTTGTGAAGTTTTGAACATATTTTTTTATAATGTCATTGGTATTGAGTATTAATTGGTGTACTTAGTTTTTGTAAAGATTGACTTATCTCTTTGTGGTGCTATGGGATTAGACTGATTTTGTATTAATTTTTGGTGGTAATTATATGCATCTATGTAGAACTTGTTTTCATTTTAGATTCCATCTTGTATTCACTGTGTCTGTACTTAAATATACTCTAGCAAACTCACCTGGCCGCCATCAACCTGAAGCTGGAGTTCTCAGTAAACCAAAAAATGGCATCCTCAATCACCAAAAACTTCCCAAAATTCACTGCTGAAACTCTCAAGCTCGCCGCAAAACAATCTCAACGCTGCCACATCGTCCCTGTCCACCTCCGCCGCGCCATCAAAAAGTACATCCGAGGTAAAAATTCTAAAAATAAAAATACTAATAGTAATCGGAAAAATTACACAAGAATATTTGGATTTCGTACATTTCATAATTTGAATTGAATTCTTAGTTTTTTTAATGTAGAGCAAGATGTTGAACATATGAGGAGAAAGGTGTTGAGTTTGTCGCAATCATTCAACGAAATCAAGGAGGTGAATTTACTTTTGCCGACCACGAGTTCGAAGGGGCTGGTAGAAGATCCACTCAAATCTATGGAACAGTCTCAGAGGTGGAAAGTCAAAACTGCTTATGGCGATATTGGCCTCAGGTATCAGGAGGATGAGACCATTGCTTACTTGGCTGCGAGAATGCCGGCTGTTTACTCTGCTCTCTATCGTGTTCTTAGCGAGGTATAGAAGTGTATTAAAATGCATTTATCTATGTGCGTGAAATGCCATTTTATCCCCATTGCATGTTCTAGAAATTTGATTGAATGATGTTCTGTGTCAATTTACTTGATTTTTGAAATCTGTACTATAAATATATTAAATTCCTTGGAAATACTTACCTTTGGAAAAAATTGTCTATGAAAATTGTGGCACGAGTTTTGAAATATGAGAGGATATGTTTGGCTTTTTCCAAAATCCATTAGGATATTTAATTTGGGAGGGAAGGAATAATAGAATTTGGACTTCAAATATGAAGATGTTACACACGAATATTTGACACGTTGAAATGAATTTTGTAGGTAAGGAGACGAGTGCCCGATTTTACTCCAGCTAAAGTATTGGATTTCGGGGCAGGAACAGGATCGGCAATGTGGTGAGAATGTAATTTGATTGTGCTTTCCTTGTGTAAATGTAGGACAAGTGCATAGGTTTGTTTCCTTGTCATTATTTCTTCTATGTCCTGTTCCTTAATTTTTGGTTTTTAATTTCTAAATTGTGGTTAAATGAGATAGGGCAATGATGGAGGTGTGGCCTCAGTCTTTAGAGACAATTAATTTGGTGGAGCCATCACAGTCGATGCAAAGAGCAGGACAAAGCCTTCTTAAAGGTAAAATTTTGATTCGTTGCCAGTGTCGTAGAGAAATGCATGGAAATATTTTTGAAAGGGCATTTTCCATGAGATAATTAGGGCCTGTTTGTTTTTGATACTCAAATTTTACAGTAAATCAATTCTCATTTTCAATCATACATTTTTCAATAAAATAATATTTTCCATCACATCAATAATTTTTTCTTCTTTTTTAACCACACATTTCCGATCATATCACTATTCAAAAATCAATTCTTCCTCCAAAAATCCCTACCAAACAAACACTTAATAACTGGCTTTCATTTTTTATTGTGGTATTAGTGGGCTTGAGTTTATTGGTCATGTTTTGATTATCATCGAAGTTGCAAGTAGATTGAAGTAGTATTGTATTAATTAATGACAGAAGAGTTGAAAGCTAGTAAATGTACACGTCTTGATTACCAGTCTAAAGGATTGAGGTTTCCGTTACCTTGGATTCTTGGAATTCTATTCAATATATGAACATCTAGCAATGTGTAAATAAATTAACTTTTAGTAACTGGTCTTTATTGTCCTGCAGTATTTAAAATTTCTCATTTTATGCCCTCGCTTATCAACATTGATTCTCCTTCTTCTTCTTTTAGGATTCCCCTTGTTCTTGGGATGCTAGAACATTTAATTTCCCTTATAATGTTTCATTTTCACGTGAGGTTCACAGGGAATGTTAGGGCCGGGCCTTATTGATTTCTATATTTGGTTACAAATGCAGGTCTAAAAAATTTGCCACTCATTCAAAGTTATGGCAGCATACAATCGTTATCTAAGCATGCCAATAAGTCTGGCAGACAACACGATCTGGTCATTGCTGTAAGTATTATTCTTATTTCCCTCTCTCTCTCTAGCCATTTGGCATTTATATTGAATAATAAAGTTAAAATAGTAGTTTAAAATCTTTATTCGCTTAAATTTATGTAAACCTATTTAGTTGCTGATTAATTTCTAATGTTTCATGCTATTGGGGGAAGTCATATGTGCTTGGCGAGATTCCATCATTAAAAGACAGAATCACTCTTGTGCGCCAACTTTGGGATCTTACAGGAGATATTTTGGTAAGTTTTGAAATCGATTTTATTATATGCTAATCTTATTTTGGCATATCTTTGTTTTTGCTTAATACTATTCATCTTTGTTTGGCATATCTCCAAGGCACATGGATTTGTTTCAATTGACTGCACAGCACAACACATGAGTAGAATCAGTTATTTTTATTTATTTATTTTTTTCCAATAGGTCTCTTGAAGAAATAGATTTGTTATTCATAACTATTTTTCTACAATATCCTATTCATACTCAAGGAGAATTAATCAATCCCATATTGGGACTGTGATTAGGCATATACCATATTTTATTGGATTGGGGATTGAAATCAAACTAGTTTTGTTTAGCTAGTTCATCTTTGTATCATATTACATTTATCAGAGTTCGCCAAGATATTGCTATTTTACTTCTGAAACTGCTTTAATTGTTGATAAATCATAGTATCTAATAACATTACAAATTAAAAAGGCTTCGGAATATTTAATGATCTAGAAAGCAAATATGTAGCTTTAACCTTGTTACAATGGTATTTGAAGTTCAAACCTTTTTGTGGGGGGGGGGACTGTAATGTAAGTCAGGTATATATCAGCAATATATGACATCAAAGTTGATTGTTTGGATGCACAAGTCAATTATTTGACATGTAGGAGCCTCTCTTTTAACTGAAGCCATATAATCTGCCAATCCCCAAAATAATTCTCTCTTAAAAGGACATATGGTTAACATTCACAGAATCTGGTGACACGCTTCATTTTATCAAAATCCAATATAGAAAAGTGTTATCTTCTATTTAGACTTGTATTACAGTGTATAATTCACCTGTGATCTTGCCATGCATAATAACTTTTTTGAACATTATTATAAACACAGTAAGAGTTAGGAACGGTTGAAATATATATTAATCTTTGT